CGAAAGAGTTATATACAGATTCCAGAAGCAATTTCTTGACATAAAATCAGCCACTGTCTCTACTTAATTCCAAAGAACTATCAAATCAAGACTAAGACATTGCATCGTACCATCACTAATCTAACACTGTAGAATAACTTCGCACTATAAAACAATTTCCTTAAAAGCTAATCGATTCATTAGGGTTTTGGTTCAGATATTTTACCCAAATCGACGAGGGAGAGGAGGAGAGGAATCAGAGCTCGAGCTTGAGCTCCTCCTTCTCTTGAGAGAGGTAGTGAAGGACGTAGGGCGTGACTCGGATCACGGCGATCCAAGCGGCCATTAGAGACAGATGCTTCTTCAGTTCCTTGTGGGCCGTCGCCTTGTCTGGCCTTCGAAGCGCTCCCAAAAACATCTTTGCTAAAACCCTAGATCTTCACTTTTTCTTTCTCTCTAGAAAAACCCTAGCTCTGCCAATCAAAGTAGAATCGACGGTGATTTGGAATATGGGTACGAACGATAGAGTGAGGGGTGTTATTATTGGGCTTCAGTTTGTGGGCCTTAATCACAGCCCAATCATTTTAATATCTAAACTTCGCAAACAGTTGTTTTTTGAAAATGTTTGTAAGTGGAATTTTTTTTTTTTTTTTAATCGCCATTGTGAGAGTGAATTGAAACGGGAGAACTTTAATATAAGCCTAAAAGCATCTCCAACAGTTTCTTTATAAATTTCTCCAAAATGAGGAAATAAAAATCATATTCTTTAAATTATTTTTGCTCCAACTCCAACAGCATTCCCATTTTAAAGAATCATGCATTTATTACAATAATAAAAATATTCTACATCCCTATTTTGGGATGCTCTTATGCATTGGAACTGCTCCCATGTTTTTTTTTGTAATTACGGATTTTGTTTTATATTTATTTTTTCCCCATCCCGTTTTGAAGAACGTGTTGTATTTATGACAATGTTCTCCCCAAATATTTGAAGAGTGCCCCATATTTGGGGAAGACTCTCATTTTTTCTCCTCCATCCCTATTTTAGGGAATGGGATGAAGAATCTGTTGGACCAAAAAAAATCCAAAATTCTTCAAAAGTAAGAATACCAATAAAATAGGAAAGCTGTTGGAGATGCTCTAACCTTATTTAATTTCTTATCTAATTTTGTATGAAAGAGAGAGTGGATCGCGTGATTCTCACATGTACCAACTAGCTTTTTTTTTGGCAAGTGAACAGGCCTAAGCTCAAAAAAGGGTGGAAAAATTAACCACAGCATAAATGAGAAGTAGCCTCCCCTTACAAATTACTTTGGATCACACGTAGCATCCCATCCTGCGGATTTTCAAAGTAGAGAAGATCAATTGACAGCTGAAGATCATACTTGGCAATCAAATTAGCATTTTTGTTGCCCTCTCCATATGTGTGCCAGAATTTAACCTCCTAATTTATGCTTATCAATCCCTTAATCTCTATCAGAGTACTGATATCTAGGGCATTACAATCTTTCGTAGAATTAAGACCATTTGTAACTGCTTTCGAGACACTTTCCACCAAGGGCATGTTTGTTTCGTAAAAAAAATGCAGAAAGTGGGGGAAAGTGGGGGAAAAAATTGATATAGGTAAATTTTGATATTTTCCTCTACTTTCAGATGCTTGGCTTGTCAAAGCTATAAAAGAAAGTGTGGGAGAAAATAAGTTGTCACCATATTATTGGATGAGATGAGTAAATTTTGATGTTTTTTCCACTTTCCTTGTTTAGGTTCTTTTCTTGTGTTTGGTTTATTCTTAAAACTAAGAAAATAGATGAGAGAAAATGAGTTGTCATTATATTATTGAATGATGTGACACATACTTAGGAAAATCAATTTCCTTGTTTTTTTGGAGGAAATGGATGGAACAAATTTTTTAATGAGATGGGATGAGTTTTCACCATATTATTGGATGATGTGAGTAATTTTTAAAAATGATAGAAAATGAAGGAAAATGGGGTGAGGTGAGTTGGATGAGTTGATTGATGTGACACATTTCTTGTGTTTAGTCTATTTTTAAAAGTAAGAAATGAGATGAGATGAGTTGTCACCATATTATTGGTTAATGTGGGAGAATTGTAAGGATGAAAAATGATGAAAGTGAAGGAAAATGGGTTTTAGAAAATAAAGGAAACGAACCAAACGGGCCCTTGCACGAATCTAAAGCCTTTCTCCCAACAATATTTTACCCTAGTACAAATAGCCCAAATCTCAGCCTTCATGATCGAGCAAATACCAATTTTCCCGCAAAGCCCCCTTGTCAAATCCCTTCACTATTTCTGATGAGGCCTCCAATGGCTGAAATCTCACTTATAATGCATTTAGTGCCATCAACACTGATTTTAATCTACACATTTGTAGGTATTTGTTCCCCAAGACACTCATTCTCGAGACTCTTCTTAGGCACTGTTTGGCAACAAAAGATTGTGTCTTATCTAAGAGATTGTGTCTTATTGACTTGGTCAATAAGCTAGTAGAGCTGTTTGGTGACCAAAAATAGGAGGAGATTATTTTGGAAATTGTGTCTTTTGCAAGTAGCTTTTGGAAAGCTACCTCAAGTAGTATTTGTCTTTGGGAAGGAGCTGTCAATTTTTTTCTTTCGTTTTTACCCCTAATAATTTTAATTTTATATCAATAATATTGCATGTTTTTTTAGTCATTTAACAAATTTAAGCTAGTTGTACAACTACTTTTGCCAAACAGTTCTAGTCAATTAGCTAGCTACACAGCTATCAGCTTTCAGCTACAATTTTACAGCTTTCAGCTAGCTTAACAGTTTTTAGTTATAATCTCGAAGCTTTCAACTAGTTTTGCCAAACGGAGCCTTAGGAGGGTTGTTAATACGAGTAGAGACACGGGCTTTTCGATATCATTGACCATGTTCATTATTATCAAAATCGGGGCTTGTGCTCTCATAAAGTCATCCTCGAACATCAAAGAGTTACGCCATTTCCAGATGTACCAACGAGTAGTATCAAAAATAACATTCCAATTCGAAATGTTTCTAAAACCCCAATTGCATTTGTAGCTTTGAAGCAATTTCATCGATCATGCTCTTGTTAAAAAAGTATCTTCTCCTTAAAGGGTGAATCAAGAAATTCTAAATGCATCTAACATGTCTGCAATATCTCAAAACATGCAAGTTGGATTCTCACATGGTTGGGCACCACCTACAACCCGCTATTGGAGAAGTGAGTTCATAGGTAATCCATCCAGAGCGACTAACCAGAGGAAATATTGAATTTTTGCTAGAGCCTTCCATTTCCAATTAAATTTCATATTTTACCTTGGTCATTCCAAGAATGTGTTGCTAACATATTATAAGCCCTTTTGACTGAGAATGTGTTACCATTGGCATTACCAAATGCATCTGTCCTTGGTTGAACAACTCTTAAGTTTTAAAAACCTAGCCCTCCATGGGTTTTGGGCTGGCAAATATTTGCCAATTTGATTAGGTGCATTTTCCTTTTTTTTTCATGAGTATCTCCCCAAGTAAAGGAGCGGTATAATTCCTCTAATTCACCGCAAATACCCTTTAAGAGTATCTCCAACCCAAAAATTCAAAATGGTGTAGTTTTTACATCAAGTTGTGTAGTTTTTATACCAAATCACTATTCCATCTCCAATCATTACACCAAATTTTACATCAAAAAGAATATTTCTTCTATTTACAAACTATAAAATGGGATATGATTGAAAATATTTAATTTATTATAACAAACTATAAGAGCAAACTTGGGAAAAACCAAAATCTCCATATCTACAATGTTGCGCTATTCCTGGCACAATACTGTAGCACCCCTTTAAAATGACGCTAAGTTTGGCGTTGGGTTGAAGGAAGAATTAGCGCTGGATTTGCATCAAATTGGGTATTTGGAGTTGGGTTGGAAATGCTCTAATACGCCCCACATTAGTGATTCGTGGGGTTTTTCAGCTGATGGCCAACTTTGGGTCTGTTCGCATAATGGGCCAAAAAAAAATTCAAAATGAGGCCAGAGCGAGGAAAAATAGCAAAATGGTAAAAGGGGTCAAGAAAAATACTACTTTAGTAATTTAGCCAAAAATTTGTATTTACGTTATTTTCTATCTTTAAGTATTTTTGTCCCTTTTTAGGAATATATGTAAGTTTCTTGAAAGCCATAAATCAATATATCTATCTTCTATATACTTAAAAAAAGACTCCTAGATTGCCACTTGATGACTTGTGATTATTTTGCATTTATTTTTGTTTTTCAATTTTTTTAACCTATTAATTATGGGCTGGTATGCCTAGTTTTTTGGGTTTTTTTAGTGTGCTTGTTTTGGGGTAGAGCACTTTAATGTACAGGGGCCTTGTTCGAGCTCATTGCTACTTGGTAAATAAGAAATCTATACTTACCAAAAAAATCTATTAATTAATAAGTACTTAGCAGCTAAAATTTTCATCTGTACCACTTTAATTGAAACTCCTTCAAATTCTTTAACCTTGCCCATTTGAATACTTCTTAATTTAATAGTTGTTGTAATCTCGTTGTTATCTCTACGTACATTACATATCCATAATATAAATCGATCATGAAATTAAAAAATTGATGTATTAAGGGATTTGGTGATCCAATCTTCTGGATTGTCACTATGTAGAGCGAACTTATTTATTTCATTATTATTTTTGAGTGCAAGTGGATAAAAAAATTTCACATCTTATTTATGCAACACAAATTACATTGTCCTTAGAAAGGACATTGGGGGAAATCTCCTTGTTTAATATGCCACACGATCATCGAATGTGTTCTATCAGTGATTTTAATCATACACATTCTCGTGGGAGACGTATAGAGGAAAAATCTCTGAGTGGTTTTAAGTATTAACCATTGTCTGCTTAACAGTACCACTGCAGAGAAAAAACATAACCAGTCAGAGATTTGGCAATATGGGGATCAGTCATATAACCAACATTAGAAAATAGCCCACCAATGTCATACTTTGATTTATTTTATAGCATAAACAAAGATCTCTTGTACTTCAAAGATATCAGAGGATATAAAACCTTTTTCACATAGGTTGACTGGTGTAGAAAAATTCCTTCTGAGAAAATGCTCGATCTGTAGGCCGAGACAAAACTTGTTTTCCTAACTTTATTTCGTTTCAAACTCCGTCTTTAGGCATGAGCTAGCTTCTGTAAGCTCCTTGTGCATTCCGCTAACATTTATATCATCAATATAGAATAAGATGATACAGAAGCTATTTTTGGATTTATTTATAAAAACACAAGGACAAACATCATTATTTGCATATACATGTTTCAAGTCGGTTATACCACATTCTACCCGACTGTTTCAAGTCGTATAACGACCTTTACAATTTAATGCTATACATGTTGCGATTCTTGTTTTTCCGTAATTCGGGAATTTTAAGTCCATCAGGGACTTACATATAAACATTAGCGTCTAATGACACCTAAGATGTCCATTTACTGCATATATAAATTCATAAT